GATCAAAGTTTATTTTTTACTACCTACATACAAAAACATATTGCACATCAAACAACCAAAACAAAAATAAAAATACTCTACTGAGGACTAACATATGTAGTTATACAGAATAAACCTTCTGGAAATTGATCTTTTCAGTAGTTCAGGTTATGTCTGAATGGACATGACTAATTCAGCTTAGTGTTTTAACTAAAGCTATGTTTAATTTTTAAATACTGTATAGTTTAATAAATAAACTAAACAAAGCCTCAGTGTAGAACAGTCACTGCCAATATCACCCTGTGTCCCTGCAGTTTGAGAATTTAGCAAATGTATTCCAGTGATCTGCAGCTTTTCCACTACATACAACATTTAAAAAACATGTATTAAAACGGACCAGTTTCCAGACTAAACTAATAGAGAAATTACAGTTCAGTGCAAAATATTTTAGACTGCATTTTGTTCTAGTTTTCCTCAGGTAGAGAAGTGGTTGCATATTATTAAAAATGTAACAAAAGCAGCTAATGCTTTTATAAAGAATATTATGTTAGGTATTCCCCCCTCCCCCTATCTCTGCCAGCAATTCTTTTTAATGTTACATATACTATCAAGGCACATCTGATGATATATTTATAACACAGTAGGTGTCAAAGAATGTTTAGAGAAGGCCCTCCTTTAAGTTCTTGACTCTGTGCCACTTGAGAAAAGGAAAGTGCCACTTAGAGGTTCAGGTGTTCGAAATCTGTCCTCTGGCTATTGTTAACCTTTGAGCACTCTTGATTGCTACTGATATAGCAATCAAGGTTCTTGGGGTCTTAATAAGCAAATTTCCATTTGATAGTGGTCAGACAGTACTTGAATCACTTTGAAGCATTTGCCTCTGATCTTTTGGAGAGATCTCCTTGGAGCAATCCTTGTCACTGAGCTAAAGAAATCATTTCTAACTCACCTACCCACTTCCCTCTACCACGGTTTATTTTCCTTATCTGTAAAGCAGGTGTATTACTTAATGATTACTTCTTTCTGGTAGTGGTAGGATTCATGTGTTTACTTATAATGAGGAAGAGAATAGTAATCTTAAATTTTGCTTAGCTTCGGGGCAGCTAGGTGGCGCAGTGGATAGAGCACCGGCCCTGAAGTCAGGAAGACCTGAGTTCAAATGTGGTCTGTGACCAAACACTTGACACTTACTAGCTGTGTGACCCTGGGCAAGTCACTTAACCCCAATTGCCTAAAAACACACACACACACACACACAAAATTGCTTAGCCTCTGTACTCTGTTAGTGCTTCTGAACTTGGGGTGGGAAAAAGACTACCTTCCTGACATGTAATCTTTGGTTTCAGGACGGCAAACTTACTAAGGAGGAGATCGTTGACAAGTACGATTTGTTTGTGGGCAGCCAAGCCACAGATTTCGGCGAGGCCTTAGTACGACATGATGAATTCTGAATTGTTGACAGACCAAACCCATTTTTCTTCAAAAGTAATTTATTTTTTACAGCTTCTGGTTTCACATGAAAATCGTTTTCGCTACTGAGACTGTTATTACAAACTTTAAAGCAGTGAAAAAACACAACAGCAAAACATATCCCGTCCCCTTTCCTCCTCCCAAAGGGACTGGAGGGACATTCTGTGCTTCTGATGAGAAACTGTAATTATGACACTTGTGTTTTTTTAGATTTATACTTTGTTTTATGTATAACAAGTTGTTTATTTTTGTATTTGTTTCTGGTTGGGAGTATGAAATGAAGGATGCCCATCCTCACCTCACGATCATGTTAGTTTATCACTATCCCCAACCCTTTCTATATTTTTTTTGTACTTTTTGCTTAGCTAACTAATTTTGTAAAGCCTAAGATTAACAAGGAGAAGCCAGGGGAGGGAAAAAGAAAAAAGTGCCCAGTATTTCATATCAAAGAGACAGCATCGTGGCATTGTCTGGCTAAAAATATGACATTTCCAACTGTTCGTTGTGACCAGTTGACTCTCCAGCACCTGACCCTCCTCCTCATGTCCCTGGCAAGGAAGGATTCTTACTTGTAAATCTGGGCCAGGCTTGCCCTGATGCAGTTTTTCTGCTGCAAGTGCTGCATTTACTCATTCTGACAGCACAGCTGGATTGAAAAGGGTTAGGACCAGTGACTTGAAAATCAGTCATGTTGTGGGTGTGATCTGTCCTTTCACAAAGCTATCGCTAGGGACAACTGGAGAACTGAAGGAAAAGTAAACGAGTTTCTTCACTCTCAGGTCTGTGTGGATTTACTTGTTGAAATACCCAGGGCAGGCTTGTATGACAGTTGTTGAAATCATCTTTACTATCTGCTGAGTTGCCAGCCAGACAGCAGGCGGATGGGTGACAGACCGACCCCCTGCCTTATGCTCTCCAGGCCAACCTGGTAGCACTGGGCAGTGACTCCTGCTTCAAAAAGTTATAGTTTACTCTTTTCAGTCATGTCATTGAAGTGCCTTTACCTGCCAAGAGAAATGATCAGTGAAGGCATTTCTTTTATGGAACCTCAAGGTAAAATGTGCTCAAATGGAATGTGGTTTGAAGCAGAGAAACTCTGGTAGACCCCATCATATGAAAGCTGCTGCACTTGGAAATGCCCTAGGTAGGATAGGGTATTCTTATTTCCCTCTTACAGTATTAGTAAAAATCTCAATTGCAGTGTTCTTTATATCCTCGTGGGCTGGTTTCCTAAAAAACCACATGCTACCCAATATACCAGGGATCCTCTTACCTCAAAATGCAAACCACTTATTCCCACTTTCTCTTGGATGAAAATTGCCCAGGCCTCGGTTGGTGTCAGCTAGGAGAACTCCATGGCTCAAGTCTAGAGGAGATGGGAATACCACCAACAGATAGATGGCTTTCCTGGCAGGGGTCCTATGGTTTGAGTGCCATTGCCCACACCCACCCCCCAAAATAAAATTTACATGGCTAAGCAGGCTGCCAACCCTTCTTAGAGGAGAAGGGGAATTTGGAAAAGGCTTTATATTTTCCAGTTAAGTATGGTCAAAGAAATGGCTCTTTTTCAGCTCTGCAGACTCCCTTCCTCCCTGCTTCACACAACACTATATCTTTTGAGGGACCTTAATTGTACGTAGACCTCTTATGAAAACACATTTTGTGTTCCAAGTAAGCAGTTTTGGGGTCACTAAGACATATGTGTATATATATCCTTTATTACTTCATGTATCGCTTTATAGATAACACACCTTTGATATAACTTGATAGCATCAGGTGGAACTGGGTGAATACTCTAAACGAGGTCAGGACTTTGATCTTCTAATGGCCATGTTGAGAAAGACTGGTTAGTGTGGGTGACTCTTAATCCATTAGGTGCAGCCCCTGATTTGAGGTCCTGTGCCCTGCTAGATCCCCGGTTTCAGTGCCAAATGGCTGAAGACGCCTAGTGGTCCATACCCCAGCCTCAGCTTACTTAATGCAATTCAGTCATGGGTTGTGTGGGGAGGGTTCACACAACAGTGCACAGAGCCCAGCTCTAGTTTTTAAATCATCCACCCAAAGAGTGAATCTTAGCATATTACAGCAGCAGCAATTTCTGCATGCTGGGTGCTCAGCAGCGTGCATTTTACTGAAATCCCTCATGAAGTCCCTGGGTTCTTTTTGGTTTCAAGAAAGCATGAAGCTGATGAGCAAACAGGCCACACCTCCCCAGCGTGTGGCCTGTGAATGCTGGTTCTCTTCTTGATTTGGGTGTTTTGTTTTTTATGGAGTGTAAACCAAGTTTTATATTCTGTAATGCAAACAGGTTCCTATCTGTTTCTCAATAAAACTGTTTACATTCATTGTATCTGTGTGTATCTTTCTCTTCAGGCCGTGGGGATGTAGCTCTTGGTACCATGAATACTTGCTTTATAATTAAGGTCATCCAAAAGAAGGAGCCAAGGGAAGTGGGATTGATAAGAGGGAAACATTTCAAGTTGATGACGTCCACTCAGATGCTGCCCTCTGCCAGCCTGACAACATCCTTCCTAAACTCTTGTAAGCGGTTTTCTCTCCCACTGCAGCTGTAACTAATCTTGCTGGTTTTCCCTGTTTCCCCAAGTGCTGCACTTCTAGAATGAGGTCCAGCTGCATGCCGTTGTAATATGAGTGCTTACTGTTTGCTGGTGCCAAAATACAAGCCACTCCTGGAGGCACATGCTACATTTATACCAGTTGGATTATTTCACAGTGATCCCTAGATTTTTCAGCTATAGAGACATTCCGGTAGGTCAGATGTTTAGGCAGATTGTCATACCTAAGAAGGACAACTTCATAAATAGGCTTAGTCTGCCATTTTTATATAGATTTTTCAGGGCTATAGAGACATTCCTGTAGGTCAGATGTTTAGGCAGATTGTCATACCTAAGAAGGACAACTTCATAAATAGGCTTAGTCTGCCATTTTTATTCAAGGGGTTGTGGTTTCTTGAATAAAATGCAAAGTGTGTACATAAAACATCCAGGTCTCGGCAAAAGAACAAAGGTGGTACTTGAAGCAGCTCGTGCTGGCTCAGGGCTTTCTGGTAATCAGATGCTACCCAAGCCCCGGCCAGCCTGGAGCAAGCATGAAGAGCAAGCGATTGCAGGGCACTGCCCTGTGCCTGATGGGCTATTTCTGACCTCATTTTTCAGGGCCTTGTAAAGGGAGAGGAGGAAAGGAGATTATCTCAGGATGTAGTGATGCCAGGATAAACTCTGACAGAGAAACCTATACACGGTATTAAAGGAATGAGATTAAGTCCACAAGCCACGTGAAAATAAGTGATTCCTTCAGAGTTCCATGTGGAAATTGTTTCAGAATAGAAGCTACACCAGTGCAGTTCGTGACTGTTTAACTCAGCCAGATAACCACTAGTCTAGGGAGGCAACTAATCAAGAAAAGCTGTCGGGTCAGCTAGGTGGTGCAGTGGATAGAGCACTGGTCCTGAAGTCAGAAGGACCTGAGTTCAAATCCGGCCTCAGACCAAACACTTGACACTTGCTGTTCACACTAGCTGTGTGACCCTGGGCAAGTCACTTAACCCCAATTGCCTTTAAAAAAAAAAAAAAGGCTGTGAACCATCACCTGTCATTAAGATGAGAGTAGAAAAGATATGAAGAAAAAGGATAATGAACACCCATTTCGATCTTCCCCCATGTGGCCACCCAACTTGTAGCAGTCTAGAGCAGGGGAGACAAAGGAATTAAAAACTTGTACCCAGGCAGGTTTCTCCGGTTAAGGGCCACTATGGGATCCCTTAACTAGGGCCAACTTGGCTGGAGGAAACAGTGGAGACTTCAGTTTTCTGAGAGCTGGATGTTTCAGAGTCATCTGTCATTGGCTTTCTACATACCATCTCCATGATGCAGGCGTGGAACTACAGGGACAAGACAATTGAAATCAGTCTACCGAGTAGGAAACAACCTAGAATTCTAATATAAGTGGTCTAATACGGAAAAGAGAGACTGTTCATCTCCCCATCCAGATTCCTGGCTTTGTTGCATTTTGGGCTAATCTAGACCAGAGGTCCTTAACCTTTTGTATATATCATGGACCCCTTCTCAAAAAAATGTTTTTTTAAATTATTTATTCCCCAATTACATATAAAGGCAATTTTTAACATTCATTTTTAAAAATTTCTGAGTTCCAAATTTTCTCTCCCTCTCTGAGACAGTGATTGGATGGAGGTTATACATGATCAATCATGCAAAACATATTACTATATCAGTCATTTGAAAGAAGACAGACCCTAAGGGAAAAAAATGCAGGAAGTGAAAAGAAGCTTGTTTCAATCTGCAGAATAATGTTTCTAAAAGAATAAAATGTATAGGATTACAAAGGAAACTGATATATTGAAAGTTATTGAAACAATAAATTTCTAGAACCTTTGGCTTATTTTAGAGTGAGATTCCCAGCCTAGAAAGCCAGATCAGTTAGGAGACTGCCCAAAGGAACAGCCAAACTCAGGATCTTGTAGTAGAATGGCACCAGCCTCCTAGGGCATGCTCTCCAAAGAGATGGCTTTTGGCTGGATAAAACTGCCATCTCCTAGAATGTAGGTCCTCATTCAGCCTCCTTTAGTATTGAATTAAAATTGAATTATCCCTTAGAGGAAGGAGCAAAGTGGTATCCAGGAATATTCTTGTGTGTTTTGCCTTGTGAGATTTGGGAGTTTTCCTTATACCAGCCTAGTGCAGGTCTTCTGTACAGACTCAAGCCCACTCTTCAGAGAACATGGAGAAGTCTAAACCAAGAGGGAATTCAGGGCTGAGCAGGAATTGCCAGTCTCTTCAAATAACCTCAAGGCTTTTTTTCATTAGTACTTAGATTTTTAAATAGTCTAGGATGGAGCTAGGGGCTAGGAGGAGGAGCCAGATTGGTGAGGTGGGAGGACTATAAAGATTCGAAAAGAGATAGTATGGGGCACAAAGTCTGCGGGAGAGTTGTTTAGAGCCTTTTAAAGAAAGAGGACTTCCCCAGGGGAAAACAAAACAAAACAAACTGATCTTTCCTTTTAAGGACGTGGAAAATGTGTCCATTCTATTCACAGTCACCTGTTCATGACTAATCTTTTGCTATCCCTTGGACATCCTCTCTGTCAAGTTCAGCCATAATGACCTCTACCCTCTCTGTAGCTAGCAATTGTTTGCTAAGCCACTGAGTGTCTGTGGCTTAGTTCTTCAGGCACACAGGTATATCAAAGCTCCAGTATTGCTAAGGAAGGGGCCTGGAGTAGAAGCAGAGCCTCACCTGTTTGTTCATGAAGCAATAGATGATGGGGTTGTAGACGCAAGCACTCTTAGAGAAGAAGGCAGGGATGGTGACAAGCCGCAGGTCCAGCCCGTGGTTCCGATTGTTGACCATGTACATGGCCAGGGCAGCATAGGGTACGTAGCAGAGGCAGAAGGAACCCACCATCATCACCACCATGCGACTTACCTCCCTCTCTGCCTTCTGTGTTGTAGCTGACTCTTGCTGCTGGGCTGCAACCTGGGGGAAAAAGGGAGAGGTGAGCCCTAGGCCTTTCTTCTCTCTGGCCTTCAGGAATCTGGGGCCTCAGACTTTCATCCCAGATTATGGATTGACCTCTCTGTGCCCATGACCTTTGGCATCGATTCCAGGAGGGAGTCACTGTTGGTGATCTCTGATATCTTCAGATTATTTTCACACCTGGTTTATAATGTCCTAGCTAATGCCTTGATACACATACTTCATGTGAAACACTTTTGGACTCACTCTTCTCTCTGCTACAAGGATTCACAACACTGTTGTGTTAGAAAGCATTCACCTTAATCTTATTCTCATTGGATTTGGCTTAAGGAGGGAATAACATACACACTCAATGGGGTATGGAAATCTATCTTACCCTACAGGAAAATAGGGGGGAGGGGAATAAGGGGGGTGGGAATGATAGAAGGGAGGGCAGATTGGGGGAGGGGGTAATCAGAAGCAAACACTTCTGAGGAGGGACAGGGTCAAAAGAGAAAATAGAATACAAGGATGGTGGGATAGGATAAAGGGAAATAGAGTTTTTCACAACATGACTATTATGGAAGTGTTTTGCATGACTCCACATGTATAACCTGTATTGAGATGCTTGCTATCTCAAAGAAGGTGGGTGGGGAGGGAGGAAAGGACACAATTTGGAAACCAAAGTTTTAAAAACAAATGTTAAAAAATGTTTTTACATGCAACTGGGAAATAAGATATCCAGGCAATAGGGTATAGAAATCTATCCTGCCCTACAGGAAAATAGGGGAAGGGGATAAGAGAAGGGGGGGTTGATAGAAGGGAGGGCAGATCAGGGGAAGGGGTATTGAGAATGCATGCCCTCTTGGAGTGGGGGGAGGGACAAGATGGGGAGAAAATTTGGAACTCAAAATCTTGTGGAAATGAATATTGAAAACTAAAAATAAATTAATTTTTTAAAAAAGAAGAAAGCATTCACCTTGACCGACACTCCTCCCAGCAGCCCAGACCCTCTCCCTTCCTGATCTTCAGGTCAAGCCAGTACTCACAGCTCTGAGGGCTCCCAGCAGTTGGGAGTAGGAGAAGCAGATGAGGGAGAGAGGCACAATGAAACAGAAAATGAAGAGGAACCAAGTGTAGTATTCGCTGCGGTATTTTGTGCCCACTGTGTACCAGTCAGGGCCGCAGGAGCACTGTAGGCCTTCGGGAATGTACCTGCAACGGGCAAGGGCAGTCCATCGTATGGATGGGGAGGACAGTTCCAGGAAAGCTCATCGCAGCTAAGACCAGGATTTGTGCCACACAGTTACTACACGTATTGGTAACGGATTTTGCTTTTCTTGCTGTCTCAATGGGTGGGGGAGGGGGAGAAGGGAGGAATCGAATTTGGAACTGAAAATAAAATGGAATTTTAAAAAAAGTTAAACCCTAGGTGTTACGGGAAGTCAAGATTTCTGGATCTTGCTAGATCTGTGACCCTGGCTATCCAGAAACTTAGGGCAGGAAAGAGTTGTCATCATGTGTCAGTCATGATATAGACTAGTTTCACGGAGAACAGTTCTCTTAGTACTCATTTCTCTCCTCTAAACCTCCTCAACCTCCATCTAGGGCCTTAGCTCTTGAATTTTTCACTGAATTCAGCTTTATGTTTTAGGAGATGAAAGTCCTGGTGGGAGCAGATCATATTTTAGCTCCTTTCCCAGGTCCCTGGCCCCTAGCATTAGGATCCCAGGCTCAATTCCACATACACACCCCACCCCCTTTGCTCTCACCGGCTCCAGCCAAAGAAGGGTGGGATGGAGACACCAATGCCAATGACCCAAGTAGCCAGAACCACCATCATCGAGTGCTTGGAGTTGAAGCGGAAGTTGCCAAAAGGTTTACAGATGACAATGAAGCGCTCAAAGGCAAGGAAGGCCAATGACCAGCCCGTCACCAATCCTGAGGCCAAACGTGAAGACATGAGTAAAGCAAAGATATGTGGTATGTAGGGCGTGGAAGGGCAGATGGAAAAAAAATGGTAGATGTTTAGTCTGGAACAGAGGATCTAAACCTCTTTTTGCATGTTGCAGGTTCTTGTAGCAGTCTGGTGAAGCCTGTGGACACCCCAGAACAATGTTTTTAAATGCATAAAATAAAATACATGTGATTACAAAGGAAACCAATTATACTGAAACAAAGGTGTAACTCTTTCCCATACAAGTTCCTGGACCCACTTGAGGACTACATGGATCTCAGGTAAAGAACTGTTGGTCTAGGGAAAGCCAAATTTATGGACACGCAAGTTCAGGAAGTGAAGGAGCATCTTCTGGGGAAGGCACAGATGGAATGAGAAAAGAATAGATGTAAGCTATAGGATGTAGACATCCCATTTTGGTAAGAACCAGGCTAGACTCCTGCCCTCCTCCCCTGTCTTATGTTTCATTAACTCTCAGATTCAAAATATCCCCAATATTCTCCTTCCCAATATACTTCTTTGGTAGTGTACCCCAAGCCCAACAGCCGGGTCTTTGGAGGGCCCAACATTTGGGCCCTGCTTTCTGCCTGCCTTTGCCTTGCCAGTACCTGCCACAGAGCCCAGGAAAGCCTCCATAGCACAAACATGGCGGCCAAAGATGAAGTAGCCCTGGGAGCTAGAGATGAAGACAGTGAAGACAGAGATGATGCAGAAGATGAAACCAGCCAAGGAGACATTAACCAAGATGTAGTTGAGTGGCTGGCGCAGTTTCTTATAACGAAGTGTAGCAATGAGCACCACAGCATTGAGGGGTGTCCCTACAAAGAAGACAAAACCCATGAAAGCCGTTTGGAAGTGGAAGGCCCAGGCAGGAGCAATGTGGTACTGAGGGCCATCCCATGGTCCCACTGATGAGATGTTTTTGAAGAGATAGAACTCCTCATCCCCTGACATCTTGCTCTTAGATTGTCTATCAGTACACCCACTCGCTCCCTCTTATAGATTATGTTCCCCCACCCCTACCACAAACCACCTTGAAAAGTCCCTCAAAGCCACTTATGGGTCCCCTGGAAGATCAGCGAGACTCTTAAATCCTAAAGACAAAGTTTGGGATTAGAGACCCTTGAGCTCTCTAATCCTCCTGTTTTTTTGCTCCCTGTCCCCAGAGCTGTTTGTCAGGGAGTTTGAAGCTGGGGTTAGGGCATGAGTAGAAAGACCTTAGATCACCAGGACCTGGGAAATGTTCATACAAACTGGGCTGTTTTCACTACCTCCTTTATCAACCCTTTAAGAATGCTAGAGGCTGCCTTCCCAGTATTCAACACCAGTATGTCACTTGGGGTCCTACTCAGTAGCAAGGCTTCTAGCTCTCTGCCCTTCCCCACCTCAGCACTGGGAGGGGGCAGGGAAATCTGCCACCCTCCTGCTGCCCTCTCCCCTGAGCCCTCACTGTTCCCCAAATCCCCCTCCCCCACACCAGAATGAGAACCTGGGGTGAACTGGAGGGTAAAGGGCCACAGGATCAATGCTGCCAGGCTGTGAGCCAGCTCAGGAGGGGATGCCAAGAGTCAACCACTAAGAACATGTTAACAGTGACATGTTAAAGCCCAGCTCTAAGACAAACTTTTTGCAAGCCTCTCCTACTTACCTTTCCCCTTATTAGTTAACTAATTAAAATTAAGTTTACTTTTGTGTTACATTTTGTGTTTGAGTTGTTTCCTTCCCTTTCCCCCCTCCAACCCCGAATTAGGGAAGGCCAACATTGACATGGATATATATGTGGAAACATAAAATACATGCTTCCAATATCAGTTCTTTCTCCAGAGGTAGATAGCATTTTTCTTCATAAGTCCTTCAGAGTTGATTTGAATATTCTTATTACAAAGAATAGCTTTTGTGGTTCAGTCATTTCAGTAGTGTCTAATTCTTCATGACCTCATTTGGGGTTTTCTTGGCAAAGATATTGGAGTGATTTGCCATTTCCTTCTCCAGCTCATTTTATAGATGAGGAAACTGAGGCAACCTGGGGTGAGTGACTTGCCCAGGGTCACACAGCTAGTAAATGTCTGAGGCCAGGTTTGAACTCATGAAAATGATTCTTCCTGACTTCAGGCCTAGTGTTCTATTTACTTCGACATGTAGCTTCCCTATACTATTCCCCCAGAATAGCTTAGTCTAAATTCACAGTCTTTAAACAATATTGCAGTTACTGTATACAGTGTTCTCTCAGTTCTGCTCATTTCACTCAGCATTATCTTATTCGAGTCTTTCCATGTTTTTCTAAAACCATCCTATCTGTCATTTCTTACAGCACAGTAGTATTCCATCACATTCATATACCCCAGCTTCTTCAGCCACTCCCCAGTTGATGAGTATTATCTTAATTTCCAGTTTCTCTTTCACTATTCTAAGGCATAAATGCTGTTCCTGCCAGGCCCCCTCACTAATTTCATAACTTTAAAGACCCATGTATGGTTCTGTTGATTTACACTTATTCCACTGATTGAGACTGCAACCCCTTTCTACCTGGTGAGTGATCTTTAAGAATTCCTATAGCTAAAGAAATCCATTGCCCTGCTGCCGATATGGTAAGGAACTTTTGAGCTGGTCTGGCCCTCTAAGACAAATCTTTCCAGAAGTAGCAGGCAGGCTAGTACTTAAAGCTTGGAAAGGCCCTGCTGGTGTTTCTGCCTTGCTGGCCTAGCTTTTAAGAAACCAAGGTCAACTGTGTGCCAAGATGAAGTCTTAGAGGACTTGCTTCCGTGGAGGCCCCACACCCCCTGCTACACACCAGCTGAATTTTTATCTCTAGGAGTGCCTGAGCTCATCTGTTCTCATACCTGTACTAACCTACTCATCTCTTCTAAGCTCATCTAAATCCTACCTATCTTTAAGCCTCCCTAACCTACCATGTATTTATTTCGTATGTACTTATGTCTCTCTGCCACCACCACTCATAGATTGTAAATGCCTTGAGAGCAAGGAGCGTTTCATTTTTAGCTCTGTATCTCCAGCACCCGTATCCTTGGTATTCAGATCCTGCCTCTGACACATACTAGCTGTGTAACCCCAGCCAAGTCACTGAACTCTCGGTGTTCTAGGCAACTGAGGGTGGTCCGGGACGCAGTGGGTGACCTTGGCCTTTCTAAAGTAACACGATGACTCTGGAAGAGAGAGCGAGGCTGACGACTTTGCTCAGCTCTGCCTCACTTAAATCCAACTCACTGGGAAGCCAGCACACCACCCTCATGTTATTGGTATTCTTGAGAACGAAGGATAAACAACAGTGTTCTAGGCAAATATGGAAAGACATTGGAAACTTGGACTTCATTCCTGGAATCACCCTCGACTCTGTGAGGTGATTTTTCACCCCTTATCTTGGCCCAATATAGGGCTTCACCTCACTTCCTGGCCAGTTCCAAAACATGCCCCAAGTGCTTCCTTCCCCTTTCTCCTCCCCACCCCTTCCCAGCCCCTTTATGTGTTGTTGTCCCTCATTAGAATGCAAGCTCCTTAGGCAAGAACTGGCTTGCTTATTTGGATTTTTATCCCAAAATCTATCACAGTGCCTGGCAAGGGCATAAATGTTTTTCATCCAGGATTTCCCTATACCCATGAAATCAAAGACTTTAACCTTAACTATCCTGTCCCTAGCATTTAACACAGTGCCTGACTGGCATGCTGTAGGCTTTTAATAAATGCTTCAAGGCAACTGCTTAAGATCCACCACCCCCATGATGCCTTCCCTCAGTACTCAAGCCCAGGTCAATCTCTCTGTTTCATCAAACTCCTATGGCCAGCACCATACCTCAGATTATTCTCAGATTGTACAGGACTTTGTTTTCTAGGCAGATTGTTTGGCTTCTTTATTTATTTATTTAGTTAGTTAGTTTTAGTTTTCAACATTCATTTTTATAAGATTTTGAGTTTTAAATTTTCTCTCCTCCCCCTCCTCCTCCCAAGACAGTGTGCAATCTGATATAGGCTATACATGTATAATCATATTAAACATATTTCCACATTAGTCATGTTGTGAAAGAAGAATCAGAACAAAAGAGAAAAACCATGAGAAAGAAAAAAACCAAAGGGAAAAAAAAGAGAAAATAGCATGCTTCAATCTGTGTTCAGACTCCGTAGTTCTTTCTCTGGATGTGGATAGAATTTTCCATCATGAGTCTTTTGGAATTGTCTTGAATCCTTGCATTGCTGAGAAGAGCAAAGTCTATCAACACTGGTCATCTAGGCAGATTGTTAATGTCCTCTTCCACCTGGCCCTGGCCAGTGAGATCACAGCATTGTTTTCCAGCAGATTGCCCCCTCTGTCATCCCCACTCTCACTCAGTCCTTTCAGCCCAACCTCCACAGCCATCATTTAGGGAGGCAACTCCTGTAGAGAAGGTGCCGGGCAAGTGAAACCACAGACCCTTAAGGAGATAGCTCAGGACCATGGAGCCAAGAGCCTTGTGAGTAGCAATGCTTCCAGCCCAGAGCCATCAGCCATCATCCTAGGAAGGAAAGTTGATGGAGATTCAAACTGGTAATAGCTACAGGTGCTACAACCACAGCTGCCAAAGACCCAGAAAAGAAAGTTCTTGTCACCAAAGTCCTTTGCACTATCAAGTGGGTCGACATTAGAAAACTGATATGATTTTATCAGTGGAAATTCTGTTAATGAAGAAGATTGTGATCTGCTTTAACACTGTACCCTAAGGACTACGGGACCTTTCCATCTGCCTTGCAGCTAAAATCTTCCATATGGAATTTAAACCCTTGAGAGCAAAGACTATCCTTATCCTACTTTTCTGTTTGTATTCTTGGGGCTTAGAACAGTACTTTGTACATTTTAAGTTCTTAATAAATAGGTTTTTTTTATTCATTCATTCATTCATTCGATCATTCATTCATAGCACCTACTTCACAAGGTTGTTATGAGGACCAAATGAGTCCACGTATGTAAAGTGCTTTGCTGACCTTAAAGTGCTATACACATGTTAGCTATTATAATTTACTATTGCTATTAGTAACAAAGAGTGAAAGTTGCAGGAGATTCCCCACATCATGGGGTTACTGTAGGGAAAACACTGGGGCATCTTAAAGGCTCATATAAAATATATTATTAATAACAACACTAGGTTTCCCATAATCTGAACAGGGACAGAGGTAAGAGGAGGCAGGTCCCTATATTGTACCGACAGAACAGGCAGCGAGGAACCAAGATAGAGTCAGAATCAATATCTGGCAGAAGCAGAAATAGGATGGGTCAAAGGGAGGCTCTAAATAGCCTAAGAGCTTACTGAAAGTGACATACAGATCATTCTTGTGGACTGACTCCTGATCAAAGCAAAGACCGGAGGTCTCTGACTCACTCCTGCATTTTTATGAATGGAAGGCAGCTGTGTTTAGTACAGGATGGCTGACCGCGGCTTGAGGGCAGGAACCAATCCCAAGGATATATGTAAATCCCTAGGCATGTACAGTCTTCAATATGGTGGAGGACCCTCCATCCCATCTTCCACAACTTCTCTCTGCTCGCTACAGAGGGGGACCAGAGGGGTGTATTTTTTTTTCTTCCGTCTCCTTCAGTCATTCTTCATGGCTCCCATCAGCTCTGTAAACCGCAGTTTCTTGGAAAAGGCAAGCTCTGCCCTCTTTCCAATTTTCAACGCTCTTGCTCCCTTGTGTAAAATAAAGACAAAAGCCCCAGAGTACTCTCCCTTTCTCAAAGGCCCAACGTTCCCCTCTCAGACTCTTTTTCCTTTTTTGTTTCTTTTCAGTGTTTTGATTATTCTGCGCTCATTCTTCCAGAGTGGGACTGGCTCCATCTGCCCCCACAGTTCTAGGGGTACCTTTCAGGGGTCATGGTGTAATGGTGCCAGCTCAAGTTCCCTCCCCACTGTCAACTGCCAGCAATTAGTGCCCTGGTTCCTTTTAACTAATCAACACCAATTAGCTTTGGGAACATGTAACAACAATAGAAGTTATAAACATTTTTTCCCCAACACCTGGGGTGGGGGACACACCACTCCTTATATCACGTTAGTCCCTAGGGAGAAAGGGCTCAGGCTTAACACAATTTCTACATAATATTCACCCCACCAAATCCACTTCCCAAATGAGACATGGCTGATGGATAGATGAATCCACGTCTTTGTTACTCCTGGGCTGGGTCAAGCAGGTCACTTTGGACTTCCTTCTGCACCATCTGGCTTCTGGCAAATCTCAGGGTGAATTGTAGCTCACAGACTTCTGACCTTTTGAAGCTTACAACTTCTTAGCCATCTCTAAGATCCTCCACCTAATGACAGGAAAGAATAGATACAACAGGGCCATGTACTCACAGGCCACAAGGCCCTGGTAAGGAGGTAAAGGACAACTCTCTTCCCAATAAGGGCTCAGTCATCACCTCCTCACTTGAACACATCCAGGTAGGAATGAGAACCTCTTTGCCATTCATGGCTTTTGAATACACCTTAGGCCATCCAATCAGCAGTCTGTCTCTCATGTGGTTAGCGGGCCAGAACTAATTACAGAACATCCGCACATGCTCCAAATTAGGGATGGGAGGAGGGAAGAAGCATTAATATAGTACCTATTCTATGCCAGACACTGTGCTAAGCTCTTTACAAATGTCTCCTCTGAGCCACACCACAGCTCTGGAAGCTATTATAATCATCCTCATTTCACAGTTGAGGAAACTGAGGCAAACAGGTTTAAGTGACTTGTCCAGGTCACACAATAGTGAGTGCCTGAGGCTGGACTCAAACTCCGGTCTTCCTGACTCCAGGCCAGCTCTCTATCCACTGCCCCACCTAGCTGCCTCAAGGAGCTTCTATCACGTGTCCTCGGAAGCTTCTACGTATGGGGACTGCATTAGCTTAACAGGCAGCACATGGTCACCAGACCCCGGTTACACTTCCACTAGTTACCAGTTTCCTCTATTGCTATGCATGACTTAAGGGGAAAATGCCACTTACTATGTGGTCTCGGGCTATTTAACATTTTTATTAATGACTTGAGAATACTGTAAAACCAGCTGGCCTTGGAATTAGGAAGACCTGAGTTCAAGGTCACCCTGGCTGTATGACTTTGAACAAACCATTTTTCCTTTTTGTCTCCAGGCCAATCTTTAACATTGTAAAGGCCAAAGTGATTGCTTATCTGAACTAGTAGGGAAAATTTTCTTCCCAGGAGTTTTCTACACTAATGGAATTATATCTTCAGACAAAACAAAACAATCTATAAGTTGGGAAAAGGTGCAGATGGCATTCATGCTTAACAAATTTCCAGTTTTCACAAAGCAAGGAGGAATAGCTAATACAATGGACACTGAATTACGGAGTCAGGATTCAAAAGGATCTTCTTGATGGTCTATGATATTGGGTTGAATCTACCAAGATGAAATATAATGGGAGGAATATCAACTTTAAAATGCAAGATGGTGGCAGCAGTGAACAGTTCATATGAGCAAGATCTCAGTATTTAGTGGTCCTTTCAGTCATGTCCGACTCGGTTCATTTTGTTTGCTTGTTTGTTTGTTTGTTTGTTTTCTTGGCAGAGATACTAGAGTGGTTTGCCATTTCCTTCTCCAGCTCATCTTATGGGTGAGGAAACTGAGGCAAACAGGGTTAAGTGACTTGCCCAGGGTCACACAGCTAGTAAGTATCTAAGGCCAGATTTGAACTTATGTGGATGAACCTTCCTGTACTCTATGTATTGTACCAACTGGCTGCACTGGGTTCAGTGGGACAGACAAGTGGTCACCCATCCTTTGTTGAAAACCTCTAGTAAGCCACCCATCAAATTGGCAGAGATTACCAAAAAAGGGAAGTGACAAATGTTGGAGGAGCTGTGGGAAAACAGGTATATTAATGCATTGTCAGTGGAGCTATGCATTCATGATGCCATTTTGGAAAGTTATGTGGAATTACGCCCCTAAAGTCACTAAATTGTGCGCACTATTTGATCCAGTTACACCACTAGATAGAGATCATAGAAACAGAACGAGGACTATATATACAAAACTATGTATAACAGCTGTTTTTGTAGTGGCAAAGAACTAGAAACTGAATGCTCATCTATTGGGGAATGGCTGAACAAATTACGGTATGTAAATAAAATGAAGTATTATTGCATCATAAAAAGTGATGAAAGGGATGGTTCCAGAAAAACTTGGGGAGGCTTATGTGAACTGATGAAGAGTGGAGTAAGAAGAACCAGTATAACAATTTTTACAGTAACAACAACAGTGTAAAGCAAACATCTTTGAAAGACTTAAAGACTGTGATCATTGTAATGACCAACCAAGATTCCAGAGGACCAATGATAATGCGTGCCACCCACCTCCTGACAGCAAGGTGATGGACTCAGGCAACAAAATGAGACTGTGGCTATGCGGGAATCTGTTTTGCTTGAGTATACATATTTGTTATAAAGTTTTTTTTCCCCTTTCTTTTCACTGTGGGGCTGGAGTGGGTAGGGAGGTAAGAGGGAGAAGTGGGTAGAAACTGAGTTTGCCTCCTTTTAAAATTAGGGAAAAAACAGAAAGCAAGCCAGAAGAGTTCCCAGACACATAAAACAGCCTTGAAAGTTACATGTTGAATTTATTACATACTTAAAAGCAAGCTGTATATATTAGAGATTCACAGTTTCAATGTATAATTTCCTTTTCCACATTATATATGGAAATGCTCATTTTATTTGTTGTGTGTTATGTTCAGAATAAAAAATGAATAAAATTTAAAAATAAAAGACCTCCAGTGAAGATTCATGACTTCCCCAGTCAATATGTGTTATGGCATCAAGGAAAGCTAATGGAATCTTAGGGGCAGCTAAGTGGCAGAGTGGATAGAGTACTAGTCTTGGAGTAAGGAAGACCTGAGTTCAAATCCATCCTCAGACACTTACTAGTTGTGCGACCCTGGGCAAGCCACTTATTGCCTCAGTTTCCTCATTTGTAAAATGGGGATAATAATAGCACCTACCTCCCGGGGTAGTTATGAAGATCAGCTGAGATCATATTTATAAAGCCCTTTGCAAACCTTAAAGTGCCATATAAATGTTACCTCTTGTCAGATTGCATTAAAAGAGGAAGTGTCCAGTGCTAGGAGATAGGGGTCCCATTGTATTCATCTCCAGGCCCTAGGTTTTAAGAAAGACATTGATAATCCAGATTGTCCAGAGGAGAGCAACCTGGATGGTGAAGAGATTAGACTAGGGGTGGGAAAACTGCAGCCTCGAGGCCACCTGTGGCCCTCTAGGTCCTCAAGTATGGGCCTTTGACTGAATCCAAACTTCACAGAACAAATCCCCTTGATAAAAAGATTTGTTCTGTAAAACTTGGACTCAGTCAAAAGGCCGCACCCAAGGATCTAGAAGGCCACAGGTGGCCCCAAGGCCACATGTTCTCCACCCCTGCACTAGATGGAGTCCTCATCATGTGAGAATCATTGAAGGAACTAGGAATGTTTTGCCCAGAGAAGGGATTTCTTAGAAGGTGAGGAAGGGCATCATACTGTCTTAAAGTACTTGAAAAGATGTTTTATGGAGGAGTAATTAGATCTGTTTTGCTTGAGAACTAAAAGTAATGGCTCACATTTAACACAGAGGTTAATTTACCCTTGAAGTAAGGAAGGCCTTCCTAGCAAATAGAACTAGCCCAGAGTGAGATGCTGCAGAGCAGAGTGAATTTATTGTCTTTGCCCTTCAACCTTGATTTGCATCTATTTCACATATGCTTATGTAAGGGAACTTAAGGGGGGGGTCATGTCCAGAACTCCCAACAAGGAGGCCCCCCAGCATCCTGCCTTTTCCTACCACGTGGGTAGGAGTGGCCTTCTTTGATTGGTTGTGTGGCCAAAACAGGCCACAGTCTCTACACTCTTTCTTACTGCATCCAGAGGGTGAAGACCACAGCTCAGCTACAATGTGGATGCCATGAACTGAACTGGGAGGGGGGTTACCTTCTCCCAACCTTTACCCCAGATCCCAGAAATGGGCCTGAGGGTGTTTGTTTCTGTTCTGTTACTTGTCCTCAGTTTTCGGCTTCATCCTGGACCTGGGAGTTCTAGCTATGCTGATCTTTGAGTCCGGACTGCAGGCAGGATGTTGCAGTCAGCTGGCCTGGAAGGCAAGCCCTGCCCAAAGAAGCCAGGGTGCTGGGACTTGAGACCAAAGGGATTGTGGACTTGGAACTTGGGACTGTGCTATATAGGAACGGAGCTACCCCAGCCTGAGGTGGTGCAAGGGAAAGGGAGACTAAGCCCCAAATGTTGGGGAGTAAGTATATTTATGATTATAGCTTTTGAAGTAAATATTCCTTTGTAAAAGCTATTCTAGCTGCTACTGGTTAAACAGAATACAGGTACAAGGGAGACTGGAGCCATTTACAGAGAGCCTAGACATGTCCATATCCCCTTAAGAGTAATGGAGAAACCTGGGGGATGGTGAAATATAACATATCCGGCCCTCCAGGCAGGACAGGCCAGGGCAGTCACATATTTACAATGTTGTCTCCTCAGGTAGAATGAAATCACCTTACTGGGAGGCACTACTACTCAGTCACCTAGAAGGTGCTGAATGATGCTTGTCCACGGATGGATTCTTGTTCAGGTTTGGGTTGGGCTTCTGAGGTCCCATCCAGCTCTCAGATTCCGCAGTCCCCATCACTCAAATGTCAGAGAGAGGGAAAAGGGCGAAGAGCCTAGAACCTGCTACACAGTGGGATTATTAAAGATCACAAAGGGAAGCCCAAACAATTGTCCAATGCTAGTTTTAACATTCATTTTTTTAAATTTTGAGTTCCAATATCTCTCTCTCCCTCCCTCCAGCCTCTCCCCTACCCACTGAGAAGGCAAGCCAGATGATATCAATTATACATGAGAAGTTATGCAAAACATTTCCATATTGCAAAAAAAGCAAGGAAAACAAAGTGGAAAAAACATGCTTCAATCTGCAATCAGTTCATCAGTTCTCTTTCTCTCTCTGGAGGCAAACAGCATTTTTCATCATGAGTCCTTTGGAATTGTCTTGGATTATTGTATTTATCAGAGTAGTTGTCTTTCCCAGTTGGTCACTGTTACAATATTGGAATATAGACCTAGTAGTGGTATTGCTGTGTTGAAGGGCAAATGTGGCCCCCATAGCCCTTTGGGTATGGTACCAAATGGTTCTCCCAAATGGTTGGACCATTTAAATACTAATTTTAATAGAGAAAAGATGCTGGATTTCAACTAAGAGAAGAACCAGCCTTGGCTATTCAATCTGCTTCAGCTATTGGCCTAGGCATAGAAGTAAATT